AAATTGGGAAAAATTCAAAAAAAAAAAAAAAAAAAAAAAAAAAAAAAAACTATGACAAAAAACAGAGTAAGGAATGGAGTGTTCTATACCACATGAAGCTTTAAGTGCATGCAAGCATTCGGTGATGAAAAAAAGAAGAGAGAAATCCCTGAAGCAACCAAGCTTAGTGATAGGAGAGGAAGAAGAGTAGGAGATTAAGGAAGCCAAAATTCTCAACCATTTTGTCACCCTATTACTAAGTAAGAAAACCCTCTCAACCCTCTCATTTTTATATTTTCAGATTATATACATATGACAAAATGTCTAAACTTGTAGATAGGATTTTATTTATAATTATATAAAAAAAATTTATGATAGTATATTAAATATTGGTAATCTGAAAATCATGATAATATTGTGGAATTTAGACTTGCATGTGTAGTTTATGTAATTAAAAGATTATTGAAGATGTTATTTGGCCCTTTAAATCTGCCAGAAAGTTTTACAAATTTTTAGACAATTTTATACTCAACATTTTAAGATGATTTCTCTACAAAATTGTTTATAATGATGTCTAGTTCATCCACAAAATTTTTCAACAATTATTGAGCTTTGTACGAATTTATACAGATTTTTAACCAAATCTGGAGCTATAGACAGATTTTATTATGTGTTTGAAAAATCATTAAAATTTTTATATTAAAACAAATCTGATAATTTCTAAGCAAAAAATGAAATTTGAGAAGTCTAGTTTCATAATAAATTTTTAGATCATGGAATTGATTTATAAATTTAAGTATGGAATTAATTTAAGAAAATGTGACAAATCTGTGTCATAAACACTCTTGGAATTTTTAAGAATTATTTATAATTTATTTTTGGAAACTCCTTTCTGAAAAATGAAAATAACATGTCTGTTGAGTATTCTATAGATTTATATGAATTTTAGAGTTGTATAAGTAATTTATTTATAATTGTATTTGCAAGATATACATTCTGAAAATTTTGACAGATTAAGGAGGAATCAAAAACTATATCTTCAATTGTTTATTTATAACTTATTTTTGGGAAATTCTTTCTGAAAAATGACCTAAGCATATTTATTGAATATTCTGTACATTTTCACTAATTTTAGAACTGTATAAATAATTTATTTATAATTTTTATTACCTAAGGTATAACTTGAAAATTTCTGGACAGATTTAAGATCATCACTTCAATTAGTTATATGGATAAAAAAATCAGTTATTGTGTTGGTCTAATTCGTCAAATATTGTAAATCAGTAATCCATGTATAGGTGTATTGTGATTTATTTAATATTGTGCTAGTTTAATCTTATAGATTAAAAGTCCATGCATGTGTGTAATTATGATTTATTTCTTTTTTTTGGTATCTACATTATTATTTCATACCATAGTTTAAATAAATTGTTTGTTTAAATTTTGTACAATTGTTTATTATTGTGTGACATATGTAATATTTTATGTTGAGAATTTTAATGAGTTGGTATAACATTATTAGTAATTAAATGTTAAATTATTGTGAATATCTCAACAAGTAAAGAAACACGAAGTTTAAGCAATGGTACATTAAAATTTAAAAGTGATGGGGTAAGCCCAGCTTAGAATCTTGCGCAAGTGAGTTGCGAACCCTAACACGGCACGGGAAGGTATTTCGGCTCTTATCGGTGTAGGCGATATAAGGTTGGTGGTGCGGATGTCACAACATAAACCGTTCCCTTGGGGCAGACCGTGATGTCACGACTCGGGTACGTAACTCTGGTACGTGGGCATTATTAGTAGTTACAGTAAGTAACATTTTAATATTTGACCAAGGGGGAGTCAGAATTGCCCGTAGCCATTGCTTAGCGGTTGAGTGGAAATAGTGCTCCGTGGGGATTTACTTAAACTTATCTGATAAACTAAATCTATGAGAATTTAAAAAGAAAAGTGAGCATTTTCCTTATGATGAAATACTATCTCTGTTTGTCATTTTTATTTATTTGCTATCTATTATTATTATTTCAACTGATGGCATTCCTTTATGCTTACTAAATGTTACTTGTTAAACTGTTACTACACATTATTCATAATTTGTGAGTATTATTATCGGGATGGGTATTTTCGGGTGGTAGTATCTTATTGAGCTCGTCGCTCATTGGCATCCTCGTTACCCTAGCATTTTATGCCAGGTACCGAAGAAACTGAAGGAAACACCGAGGCCTTGCAAGGCGACACTCAGCCTTGGTTAGCTTGAAGAGTGCCCAAGTTCCATGAACCATTTCCTAAAAAATTCTAGTTTTTCTCTAAGTTTCTTTTTATATTTGTGTCATTTCAGTTATGTACTAAGACTAAGTTGTGATGTAAGAATTTTAAATTATGGGTTGTTAATTAATGGATGTTAGTAATATTGGTGGCAGTATTGATTTTAAGTTTCTAAATCTTATTATGATGCCCTTAAATTTTGGGGCGTCATAGGAGATCCTTGATGTTCAATAATTATATTAGCCAAAGGAGGATGACTAGAGCTAACAGATGTATTAGGAGAAGTTTTCCATTTATATTTGGTGATTGTATTTATTTTTTTGTAATAATTTTCAAAGTATTCAAAGAAAGGAATTTCTAGACGATATTCAATCATAAAATCATACTATTTTCGAGTTATTCGAGATTGTTGAGTAGAATTATATTTATCACGATAAGCATGTCGTTTAGTCTGATTTTCTATAGACCTAAATTCAATAAGAAGTTTGTCAAGATCAGGAGCAAAGGGTTTACTAATTGTCATTAATTGAGGATTGATTGGAGGTGTAACTTCAAAATCAGTTTGAGTTAGAGAGTTTTGAGACTCAATATCTTCTTCGTGGAGATGTGTGTGAGTAGAATACACAGGTTTACTAATTTGGGAGGTTGTAGAATTATCGATACCTTTCATTTTACTATGGGAGGTTTGGCCAAAATGAAGTTAACTATTTTTTCGAAATAAAGGTGTATTAAATATTTCATCTTCAATTTCAACATCAGTAGGTACACTAGAAGTACTATGACGAGAAGATTGAGATCGATTAAATTTAATTTTAATAGATCCATCAGTAAATTGTTGAATATCTTGACAGGTAGATTGTTGTTGGTCATATTTGTAATTTTCATTAACAGTAATCCATTGTTCAGGGAGAGTAATATTTTTCCATACAATCATTTGAGAAATATTAATATGTGTATCATTACTACTACTTTGAATCAGTGAAGTTTTATCCTTAGGACTTTTATGTAAGGCTTGAACATTTAAATTGGTTTTAATACATTTATAATGAACACGATAGATTAAAGTAATATTATGTATTTTTTCTTTCATATTGGTAAATGAACCATATAATTGAATATTTAATATTAAAGCATCTAATATATGTGGATCACGAAGACTAAGTGTAAAATTAGGAAAACAATTAAAATGAACGGGTCCTTTGTGGAGACCAGTTTCTATCATACCCATTAAACTATTATTATAATCAAGAAAACGAGCATCTCTTAAGCATAATAACACAGAAGTATATTTACCTTGTGGAGTTAATGGTTTTATTACAACTTGAATTAATCCTAAATGAATAAAATTATGACCAGTTTGTAAATGACGTTTAATAGTATTAGCATCAAATAACTGACAAGTTTCACGAGATTTTTCTAAAGTATAAACTTGTTCTAATGTTTTAACATGAAGATTAACTTTGAATGTATTTTGTAAAAATGTAGTTTTATAAATTTCTTTAACTGGTAATTTTGGGATATTCCAGCTTAAATCAATTTTATCATTCTATATTTTATATATATATATATATATATTTAAAGAAATTTTTTTAATTATTTTCTTATATAACAATAATATTATGAAAATTATTATTTGAAATATATTTATAAAATCATTAACACTGTTAATTGATTTAATAATTTATTAATATAAAATGTCATTTGTTATACGTCTAAGAAATTGAAGGGCCGAGATGTATAATTTCCACAACCACAATACGTATAATTTATCAATTTTTATGTTATAAAGTATTTTTTTAAAAAAATAAATTATGTGACATAAACATCAATTGATAGTTGGGCAAATTACGATGGTATTTTCTATAATTTGGTCATGGTATTATTTTAATCTCTATAATTTCAATTAGTTTGATTTTAACCTTGAATTTATGACTTTGTCTCGATTTGATCCAATTAGTTAGAACTCTTAGCATTTTTCTTTTATGAAAAATATGTACATAAGTGTTATGAGCTATGTTTTTAAGAGCAAACATAAATTTACCCAACTTAGTACGTTAATCTCAACTAATTTATTTCTTAAAAAATATTAATGATATTATCAATTGGATCAAATTGACGCATAATCTAAAATTAAGGGTCAATAAAAAGCAGGGCCCAAACTGATACAAGAGGTAAAATATATAAATGATACAAGAGGTAAAATATAGAGATTATCAGTGTGATTTGCACTGGATAGTTTTATTGGTTTCATAAATATATTTTAATTAGCAATTTTCATAATTTTATTATTATATAAAAAAGTAATTAAGAACTTCACTTTTTTTTTTTGTTAATTTTGTTAAATATGTTTTTTTGTCAATTAGATATTTATAATTTCTAGAACCATACAAATATATTTTAAATAAATCTCAACAAATATATTTGTTAATTTACTTAAAATATTATTTTATTTATTTTTTTGAGTAAAAATAAGATGCATAAAAATATCAAAAATATTACAAAAAGAGAAACTAATAACAAGCCCTTATTGAAGTTGTTTTTGTCATCCATTACTTACATCAAAACGACTGCGTGTCTATCACAGTATCATGTTGCGACAGTACGTCCTATGCCTTGTTTTTTTTATTTTTTACTATGAATATTCTCAATATACTGGTTTTACTGTTTTTTTTTTTTTTTTTTTTTTTTTTTTTTTTTTTTTTTGGGGTGGTGGTGGAACGGGTGTGAATCATTGTTGAAATAAAAATCCTCGCCCCCGCCATTATCATCGGAACTGTGGCTTCACCATTTTCGATTCTAGCCCTCGCAAACCTCGTCTCTCCTCCGTGAAGAGTCTCCATCATCTCTTGCTGTCAAACACAATCTGGGTCGATATCGTGGCTTAGCTTCACCATTTCCAATACAATGTTGCGGTAAGCTTAGAACCTGTACAGTTTGATTGCGTTTGTTGAAAATTCATGTTATATTAATGTCCATTAGCTGTTCGATGAAATGTGTCAATGTGTCTGGATTATTGATACTGTTCTAGTTTGAATTAACAGATTATTTTCTATTATGCTTTTTCTTGCCCATAATTTTTATATCAATTTAACTACTGGGTGCAACAAATTGTTTGAGTTTTTGGAGTTTTATGTTTTATTTTATTCTTTTGCTGGCTTTTAAATGTCTCTGTAGACAAGAACATAGGAGTTGAATGTCTCTGAAAATGAACTTATTACTATCAAACATTTTCACAAACACTTAACAGTGCATTTTCAAAACTATCACAAGCACATCCAAAACATACAAATCATGCGCAACGCCATAACAAACAAACAGAAGCAAGTGGGAATTTTGAGACCAAGAACTTCTGAAATCTCAAATCAAAATCTGAAATACCAAACAGTGGAAATTTTAGACCCAAAAATTTTTTCAATTAAGTTAAGGGTTAAGCAATCCCAAAAATTGTTAAATCAAAATAGCCTTGTCCCAAATTCTCAAAACCTTCTCGTCTTCATGGTGTGTTTTCCATTCATTGGTGCCTTTTCAACTTTTGTTTTGGAAAGATAGGTTCAATAGAGACAAGGGAGTAATCGGGGAGAGACATTAGGGAACCAAGGCTTCTGGTTTAGTTTTTGGTACTTGTTGACGACTAGCCAAACCAATGTAAGAGACAAGCGAGAGAGGAAGACGATGCTGCTTTGGTTTTAGTTTTTTTTTTAACTGGTAGTCTGGCTTTTGTTGATGTGTCACTGCCACATTAGCTATCAGTTCAGTTTCAAGTGTTAGTAGAATTACTCTCCAATTTTATGCGAAGCTTTTGCGTGAATGGCAGACATTTTCAAATGGTTGCAAATTGACTCTCCGTTCACTCCGTTCACTACAAGGAAAAACACTTTAGGTGACCACCTTTTTTAAGTTGGTCGCAGATAGTTTACTTTCTGCGACCAACATTTTTTTTGGTCGCGGATGATCTGTATTTTAGCGACCAATGACTTTGTGGTGGCTAATAGGTACTTTTTGCGACCAAATATAAAATGTGGTAGCCGAAAGTAATGGCGGGAGAGCCAAAAAATAAAGCGGGATGTCAAAATCTTTGGTGACTAGTAAATTGTGGTCACAGAAACGAAAATGACATATTTTGTAGTAAAACTACATAGTTTTGAATGTTTCCTAAATAAAAAACGATTGTTTCCTAAATCAATTGAGGTTTTCATCACTGCTCTCTTTTGACTCCTCATAATAGTCAGATTGGTTGCTTGGTTGTATCTCCTCCAAACAATAATGAAGCCATAGCCACCATCTCCATTTACTTCATCCCCTGTTTTGCTGTCTCTTTTTCTTCGGCTTCACCACTTCTGCTTAGCAGGTCTCTCTCTCTCTCTCTCTCTCTCTCTCTCTCTCTCTCTCTGTTCATGTATATATATACATAAATTTGTAGTTTGATCTTGTAACTTCATGCGAGTGCCATTGTCTGTCTTTCTATATTTTTTTGGTTGGATTCCCCTTTTATAATTTACAATTTGTGTAGATGTAGACTTAGATGTTCACATGCGCACACATACAATGTATACATGTATGTAATTGAATCGTATATGTATGTTTATTTATTTGTGTATGTATGTTTTAAATTCTGAAAATTGGATCTATCTATATATTGATTAGAGGAGTTAAAGGGTTGAATTTGATGTTGTATGTATCTTCTGTGAGATTTTTTTAATTTTTCTCAGGGTTTACAATAGGGGATAGTCAATTGTTTTGTTTGTTTGTTTATTTATTAAATTATTATTTAGTCATGAATTAATGGGAACTGCTCTAAAAATCATTCAGCTTGCTTGTTTTGAGTTTTCAGAAAACATTTTTCAGAAAATTTTACATTCTTATTTTCCGTGTTTTTTTGTTTTTACTGAATTTTTAAAATATTTTAAACAATTTTTTTACTTTTTAGACACACCTAACATAAATATACCTAAAAAGTAAAAAAATTGTAAAAAAAATCTTTTAAAAATTCACTAAATACCAAAAATACAAAAAAAATACAAGAATTCAGTACATTTTTTGTATTTTTATGTATTTATTAATTTTTTTAAATATTTTTTTACAAATTTTGTACTTTTTAGATACATCTAACTAAGATGCATCTAAAAAAGTAAAAAAAATGTTTAAAATTTAAAAAATATTCACTAAAAACAAAAGAATACGAAAACCAAAAAATTCAGTTTTCAAAAAACTTAATCCAGAAAACTCAAACCAAACACACTGATTGTTTTGTAAGTAGGCATTACAATCCCTTTGTTTGTTTGTTGCAAAAATTAAGTTAAAATGTAAGAAAAGTATTGAGCTTTACAATTTATTTTTAGTTAGGCTACATAATGGAATGAGCATTCCATTCTTTCTCACTCCAATGAACAAAACATTACAAAACACCCTCTCATCTAGTTCACCCTTGTTACGAGTTGAATCAACATAATCCTTTTCTAGAATATTTAAACTGAAGGAAAGTGATGTGTCCTCCAATAGATCTTCAAAATAAATCAATCCATTTGCATTAGGAAATACAAATTTTCACTAAGGAAACATGAACTACTATGAAGCACAGGTACTTCAAATAGGGTGACGTATCCGTATCGTATCCGTATCGGATACCGATACTCCTTAGATACTCACGGATACGTATCGGATACTTATTAAAAGTATCAGATACTTCTTAATTATTTTTTCATTAATTTTGGAGTATCGGATTCTTAATTTTGAAGTATTGGATACTCCAAGTCATGTTTACTTGTTTTATGAAATTAGAATTGTAATATTTCTTGCATAGTAATATAATATAATATAATATAATTGCAAGTATAAACATAAGAATATTTTTCTATACTTTGTTAAGTTCTTCGATAAAAAGAGCATAGTGAGTTAAATAATAGAATTTATCAAATTGATGTATCCTAATTATTTCATACATGTCCCCTATAACTATATAGAAAGTAAGAATTAACAAGAGAATATAATAATGATAAAATTAAATATCAATAAATAAATAAGCAAGTAAACTTAAATATAATATTTTTCACTAGTGTCAATGGAAAAAGCATAAGGACAAGTTGTGAATTGTTCTATTATTGTAATATAAATATATTAAACTTGATATTAAAATGCAATATTTGCAAGAACTATTAAAAATTTAAAAAATAAACAAGCTACTAGCTTAAATTAATACCAAATTCTTAAATGTTAGTATTTTGCATTATAAAATTACAGTGTAGCTTCTCAACGTTCTTTAGCTTATGTGTAACTCACTATTAATAATTTTAAAAAATATATTTTTCACAAACGTATCCTCGCCGTACCGGTATCCTATTTTTTTAGGTTTTGTCGTATCTCTGTATCCAATTTGTAGTTTGATCTTGTGACTTCATGCGAGTGCCATTGCTTGTCTTTCTATATTTTTTTGGTTGGGTTCCCCTTTTATAATTTACAATTTGTGTAGATGTAGACTTAGATGTTCACATGCGCACACATACGATGTATACATGTATGTAATTGAATCGTATATGTATGTTTATTTTTTTGTGTATGTATGTTTTAAATTCTGAAAATTGGATCTATCTATATATTGATTAGAGGAGTTAAAGGGTTGAATTTGATGTTGTATGTTTCTTCTGTGAGATTTTTTTAATTTTTCTCAGGGTTTACAATAGGGGATAGTCAATTGTTTTGTTTGTTTGTTTATTTATTAAATTATTATTTAGTCATGAATTAATGGGAACTGCTCTAAAAATCATTGTTTTGTAAGTAGGCATTACAATCCCTTTGTTTGTTTGTTGCGAAAATTAAGTTAAAATGTAAGAAAAGTATTGAGTTTTACAATTTATTTTTAGTTAGGCTACATAATGGAATGAGCATTCCATTCTATGTCACTCCAATGAACCAAACCCTCTCATCTAGTTCACCCTTGTTACGAGTTGAATCAACATAATCCTTTTCTAGAATATTTAAACTGAAGGAAAGTGATGTGTCCTCCAATAGATCTTCAAAATAAATCAATCCATTTGCATTAGGAAATACAAATTTTCACTAAGGAAACATGAACTACTATGAAGCACAGGTACTTCAAATAGGGTGACGTATCCGTATCGTATCCGTATCGGATACCGATACTCCTTGGATACTCGCGGATACGAATCATATACTTATTAAAAGTATCGGATACTTCTTAATTATTTTTTTTATTAATTTTGAAATATCAGATACTCCAAGTCATGTTTACTTATTTTATGAAATTAGAATTGTAACATTTCTTACATAGTAATATAATATAATATAATTACAAATATAAATATAAGAATATTTTTTTTAATACTTTGTTAAGTTTTTCGATAAGAAGAGCATAGTAAATTAAATAATAGAATTTATTAAATTGATGTATCCTAATTATTTCATACATGTCCCCTATAACTATATAGAAAGTAAGAATTAACAAGAGAATATAATAATGATAAAATTAAATATCAATAAATAAATAAGCAAGTAAATTTAAATATAATATTTTTCACTAGTATCAATGGAAAAAGTATAGGGACAAGTTGTGAATTATTCTATTATTGTAATATAAATATATTAAACTTGATATTAAAATGAAATATTTACAAGAACTATTAAAAATTTAAAAAGTAAACAAGCTACTAGCTTAAATTAATACCAAATTCTTAACTGTTAGTATTATGCATTATAAAATTACAGTGTGGTTTCTCAACGTTCTTTAGCTTATGTGTAACTCACTATTAATAATTTTAAAAAATATATTTTTCACAAACGTATCCTCGCCGTATCAGTATCCTATTTTTTTATGTTTTGTCGTATCTCCGTATCCGTATCTCGTACCCCTATCTATGCTTCCTAGATGAACTAGAAGTATGATTGATTTAACTAGTAAAACATATCCGTATATAAAAATAAAAAATATATATATATATATATAGAGAGAGAGAGAGAGAGAGAGAGTGAAAGAACTTTCAACTTAACCTATGTAAATATTCTCCAGATTTTCACTTCTGCATTCTGATGCAGAACGTCGATTTTTCTTCAAAATATCTTCTATTAAATCATTGGCCTTCTCCATTCATTTACTCAACTCATCTTCTAAAGTCTCATAAATGTTGCAAAGTGATGCAAACAGGTCTACACCTTTGCTACCTTTCATAATTGTAAATGAATCAGTAGATTAACTTGAGATAACTCCCATGAGAGAGAGGGAGAGAGAGAGAGAGAGAGAGAGAGAGAATGGGGAGGGGAATGATCCAAGGATTGAAGAAGATGTTTACCAAACCGTGGAGAATCATGAAGATTGAAATTTCTTACATGAACAGGAATGTGAATAATTAAGATAGCCTGTCAAAGATTTCATTCATTAGCAAAGCATAAGCTCTTTTTCATTACAACTTAGTCTCATGAAAAGAAAAGGAAATGACTAACATGATAAAATAAAAGTCTATGCAACAATTCATTCATGCATTTGATGATTTCCTCTTGTTATCATAACAATCTTTCTATTTTTTACATTAAAAATATATTATGCTTATTGAATACCAAAACAACCATAATAGAATTGATAACTATTAGAGTTGAATAATATAGGAAGGATTGTGACAGACCAAGATAGCAACCAAACCATTAGTGCAAGTCACAAGGTCCTTAAAATTGCTGAATTCATGGGTACGAAGTGCTAGAAACAGCAACCATCCAAAGTGATGGTAGTCTGACACATGACCTCAATGGCAACAGTTGACTGCTCACCAACTTTTGCATCATTTGTCAAGAAAAATTCGCAGAATGCACGTTTGTAATACCTTGTGTCATCGTAAAATTCAAGACTATTAATGTAAAATTTTAAGCAATTAGAAAAAGGAAGGGATTGTACCAAGTACATATTTTGCTTTTCTGTTTTTGATAAACAACACCACATAGACAAAAGTGTGTCCAAGTCAAGACTACAGCCATGAACATTCCTCTTGTGGGGTGACACGTGATTCAATTCAATCCAACATACTGCTAAATGCTAACACATTTCATTATGTATGCAATGAAAACAACATGGAACAAGTCAATTTCTAATGATCCATGACATAAATATTTCTAGAATCCATCTAAACGGACTCTTAAACAAATATTCCCATCTTTTAATATAAGAATTGTGATTATACAATTGAACTGGAAAAGCTAATTGAACCAAAATAGACAGACTTTGGCACTAGAATGTCTAGTACCTCTTGGATGTAAATTGTAATGAGAGGGGAAAAACTCATCCTTTAGTTTTTCATTTGTCGAACTTGTAAACAAAACTTAAAACCAACTTTTTTTTTTTTGAAAAATTAAAAACCAACTTTTTAAATCCATAAATCCTACTTTAATTAGCCCAATCCCTGCATCGAAGAAATAATCTTAGCGACCCAAACCATATAACAGGCACAATTAGTGTTCTTGAGTTAAAATCCACGAACTTAAAAAATCCTTATTCCATCCATCCTAAAACATGACCTTACCAAGCCATAATGTACTCTTAGCTCATAACACTTGGACAATGCTCATGTTATTCCTTAAACCCTGCACCACCAAGCTCGAATCAGCCCTAACATTCCTTACCTTTTGGCCTTTAATTTAACATACACACATACCCACACACACAAAATACTGCTCTCCAGCATAGCAAGACAAGTTATGGGCATTCAATTACCTGTCACTTTGAAAACATAGTCAGTTTGCCCCTTATCAATGCATATTTCCCATAACCTTTTTTTCAATCTGTTAAATTCTGTAAAAGACAAGCTATTCACACCCTTAGTCCACGTAAACCATTCATAGGCATCATTACTAATGGAAGGAGCATTCCATTCCATCTCATTTCAATGAACCAAACATTGCATAGGTTCAATCCCTTTTCTTTTAACATCATGCAAAAATCAGGAGCAGAGGCCAGTTCAAAGAATTGCCTCTATTGCGAACTTGTCATTGAGATAAATTTCCTTCTATTCATGTATGATGGAAATTCTATGTTCTTATGACTTAACAAACAAATTTTATTTTAGATAACTCTTCTGTTGCATTTCAATTTGTTATTTTAGTAGTTGCAGTATAGGGAATGAGGGAAACCTTTTGGGATGAAGGTTGTTTGGACATCCTTTAGTAGGAAAAACTCTTTTTCTCCTAAGTTCTCTAGCATGTTTGCTCTTCAACTTAGGATTGTTTAAAAACTGCTCTATTTTACCTCTCATATATATTCTTTTTAAAAAAACCAAAGATTTTGTTAACTGTTTCCCCATATGCCCTGTTACTCTTGAACATATAAGGAGAGTAATATACTAGAGTCTTGCCATAGAGGAATTTTATGCTTGGTGGTCCAGGTTCATTTTATGTTATGTAATGGCTGATGAGAAAAGTCTCAAGGTTTTGGCTTGTTTACTTAAGTGAAGTTTAGCAATTTGTTTGCTTGCATTTTCTAGATTAAGTTCTAAATGTTTAATGCAGTCATGACAATTGTTCAGATCGATTATCGACTTTAATGACTTACAAATGACAACTATATTCATTTTAAAAACAAAAAAAATTATGCTTGGTATACTGAAATTTTAGTTGTTTTTTCCAATATAGTTAAATGCTAAATTATCAATTTATCCAAGTGCCTGTGTATTTGTAACCATTCCTTCAGGATGTAAGGGCCTAAGGGGGGTGCTCCAAACTGTAACTTTTGATTTGGTGGCACCTTCATTTCCTTAGTTCAATACTTATTCAAGTTGTATAGTGGAGCAACTATTTTCCAAACATATGTTAAGACATAATCGCCTTAGAGGGGCGAACCCTATACAGCACTCAAATTGGTTTTCATTATGGTTGGGTTTGTAAACTGTTTTGTTATTATTGTCAATCTTTATTTCATATCTTGACCCTTCCTCTCTTTAGCCTATTTTCAGCCGGCAATACAAAATTTGTTTTGCAGCTAACAATTTTCTCCTTTTGGTTCTTAAATTCTACTCCTACAGTGGTAATTTTTTTTGACAAATTCAATTTAGTTGATTTTTTCCTTCCATGGCTTTACAAATGACATTAGGGTACTTTTGTTTCTATTTTTCAAAACTTTTGAAAACAAAAAGTAAGATAAAATTAGCATTCAAAAGATGAATAAAATTCAGGTTTTATCCATAGAACTTGCTCTCTCTCTCTCTCATTTCTGTTTTCTCTACTATTTCTTGTTTGATTTTTTTCCTTCTTTATTATTGTCATCTATCTATTTTCTCTTTCTACTTGTATTGAGCAGTTCGAACACTTTATGAGACAAATGCATGGCGATCATATTGGACACGACTCTTTTAATGAGCAAGTAATTTAAATTTTATTACATATATTAGTGTTTTTAAAATAGTACTATTGATTTTGACGGTTTGTGAATACTTCTAGGATTTGCTTCAATTTCTCAACTCATAGATCTGATTTTGATGGTTGATCTATGAATGTCGTGTTGGTTTCCATTGATAGAATGGTCTAATATTGATTTGTTTGGTTTCATAACTTCAGTTAGTGATCTAGATTCAGCCACTACATCAATAGCATGTACCTCCTCCTCAGCCTTCAACCATTGATTATGCATATTTCCAAATACCTCCTTGTTCCATTTCAGCTCAAGCTTTAGAGCAACCAATTTCACTTGTTGAGAGAGGGAAAAAAGTCAAACTGATCTCAGCAAAATATAGGGAAAAGAAAAAACACAAAGAATACCCAGTAAAATATAGATGGTAGGGCTAAGGAAGATCAAGCTGATCTCCACTCTCCATTATTTTCATAGGGTCTGAATCTCTTTGCCAGGGCTATAAGGAAGCCCTAAGAGTATTTCTATTATACTTCTGAGTGTTTTTCTTCATGAATAATGAATGTGTCTACCTTCTCAAATCTGTATGCTTGAACATAGAATAGGTTTGGACAATTTTTGGAAACCAATAAATGCTTGTGTTTGATCATAGACAGGGCATTTTCTACTGACTCTGAGAAAGAGAAACATCTTTTGTGACTAATCAAGAACATAGATGTGCTGGAAATCTGTAAAATACATTAAGTTGCATATTATGTGAGCTTGTGTTAAATGCCTAGTATTATGATGATTAGAGGTGGGCTCTATGCCTTACTATTATGATATCCTCAACAGAATTTCCTTCATCTTTTTTTATGATTCTTTAATTTCCTTCATTTATAAAACCAATCCATCTTTGTTGAATTAGTTTAGAATTCTGCAATTTGGCTCCTTTAAGTTAACTCTTGTGGGATTGATCGCGTAATATGCACCATCTATGCACACAATTCGTATACTTATGAGTTTAATTTGATTGCAACTCAAATTGACATCAATTGCCCTAGGGATATGATTTGAAATAAATGCATGTGTGAGCAAGTAGAGGCACTACAATATGAGACTTGAGAGGGAGCATACATTTGTGTATGTCCAAACAGTATGTTTTATGCTCTATCCTAAACTTTGGAGGCTTTAAACTGCTGGCAATAGGGATGCAACTATAGCCCTTCGAGCAATAATGTTTTATAGCCTGATATCTTTGCTTAAATCATCATTTTCAACGTGCAGTTGGGACTCTAAATCCAATTGAAACTGTTGAATTGAAGCTGCTGTTCAAGGTGGTAAAATTGTGTTTTTATGAAACAGTGCAAGTGTGTTTTTTGTGGGTAAAAATGTCTTCTAACTTCTTAAGTTGCTTGTGATTCATTTGAATATTTCTACATGTTTCCTGTCATGAAAAATAATAATTGTTTCTGAAAAACTTTGATGGTAGTTGCCACCATCAATGAAGCATTCTCTAGTTAGATGAATTTTGCTTTTTTTTTTTTTCCTTTTTGAACTGAGCAGTAAGGCTGTGTGATTGCTAGCTTTGGGAGTGGAATTAGATCCATAGATTTTTATAAAATTAAAATAGAAATGTAAGCAAAAATATTATTGTTAGCAATGCTTTCTTCATTATTTTTATTGTAGGTAGCTAGAGTGTAGTCATGCGTGTTTATGGACTTGAGTTTGCTGGTGCATTAATTCTAAGTTGTGTTTATACATGGAATTTTTGATATATTTAGCATTGGACAAATATGACACGCACTTGGATATTAATGGTTTTTGAAATCTTTGATGGTTTTTATTAAATATGTTTTTGATGTGGTGAATTTGTTTTTTTTTTTTTCCTTTTTGAACTGAGCAGTAAGGCTGTGTGATTGCTAGTTCTGGGAGTGGAATTAGATCCATTGATTTTTATAAAATTAAAATAGAAATGTAAGCAAAAATATTATTGTTAACAATGCTTTCTTTATTATTTTTATTGTAGGTAGCTAGAGTGTAGTCATGCGTGTTTATGGACTTGAGTTTGCTGGTGCATTAATTCTAAGTTGTGCTTATACATGGAATTTTTGATATATTTAGCATTGGACAAATATGACACGCACTTGGATATTAATGGTTTTTGAAATCTTTGATGGTTTTTATTAAATATGTTTTTGATGTGGTGAATTTGTTGTAAACTAAATGGTTGGATGATTATTTTGGACTTGTAATGTGTTCATGCTAACAGGTGATAGTAATTAAATAGATTAACTACTATTTTGACTTTGTAGTTGATGGTTTTTTATTTTTAGATTGGATTGTTGATGGATTGGTATGTTGAAATTGATTGGATGGACATGAATTATGCATTAATTGTGAATGTATTATAGGTATTAAAAAAATTAGCATCAAATTTAAAAAACTAATTTTTGAAATTGAAAACTTTTTTGTGACTAATAAAATTTTAGTCACAGTAGGTCTTTGAAAAGATTTTCGGGATAACTATTAGTGACTAGGGATGTAGTCAGTAAAACGTAGACTTTCAATGACTAAATAAATGGCCAGGAATTAGGACTTCCGTGACCACCTAGGAAATACAGATACGGATACGGGTACGATACGGATATGGTGATACAACAAAATTTGAAAAACTAGGATACGGATATGACGGGGATACGATCGTAAAAAATATTATTTTTAGCAATTTCAACAACTCCAAAAACTCAACAATTCAATAAAATTTCAGCAATTAAATAAATTTTTTTTAAAAAAAAAACATTAATGTAGTTAACCCTTTCAATGATGAAAATAAAAAATAAAAAAAATACCTCACAAGGCTCCTTGAAGTTGTTGTCTTTTAAGAAAATAAAAAGTGGGTACTAGTAGTAGCTTAGCTTAGCTGCAAAAAAAAGGAAAAAGAAAAAAGAAAAAAAAGAAATTCAAAGGGGTTAGTTTAGTACAGTGAGAGAGAGAGAGATAGTGAGACAGAGAGTGAGTAAGAGGGAGAGAGAGAGAGAGAGAGAGAGAGCGAGAGCAAGAGAGGGTGAGATTGAGTGAGACGGAGAGATAGAGAGTGAGTGAGATTGAGCGAGAGGGAGAGAAAGATCGAGAGGGAGAGAGTGAGTGAGATCGAGCGAGAGAGAGGAACTGAGATCAAGTGATAGAGACAGAAAAGTGAAAGAGTAAGAGAGAGAGAGAGAGAGAGAGAGAGAGTGAGAGTGAGAATGAGAGAGAGGGACTGACCTTGATCGACTCCTCCTCCTCCTCGTCTTCCTTGCTACTGTTCGCGAATGGCGATGAAAATGATAGCGACAACGACGACAACTCTTGCCCTGTTCGACTTGTTGCTGCTCCAGTGCTCATGAGCTAGGGCTTGTTTTAGTTTTTTGTTTTATTTTAAATAATTTTTGTTATTTTACAGTTTGACCCCATTATAAGTTTGTAAAATTATTTTTTCGCCCCATCGTATCCCGAAAGTATCCTTGTGTATCCCAAATGTATCCGAAATTCAAAAAAAAATTTAAAAAAATGGGATACTTCTTTGCCGTATTTAATATGTATCCCCTCGTATCGGACGTGTATTCATATCCGTACGTATCCAACACACGTACAAGGGCCATTTCAGAGTATCCGTGCTTCATAGGCGACCACATATTGTCGTCTCTAAATACGGCTATTCCACGACCAAGTTTATTGTCGTCCCTCAATGATATCTTTCAACAAATTTAAACGTTTTTAGTGACCAAATATGTGGTAGCAAATGATAATGTTCAGAAACCAAAATAGGTGATTGCAAATGTTAACTTTCAGCGACTAGTTTTTTGATTTCAAAATAATCAACTTTCTACAAATTAAAATCCTTTCGGCGACCAAAATATGTGGTCACAAATGATAGTTTTCAGCGACCAACTGCAGTTCTGGTTGCCAAAAACCTTCGCTGACGAGCTTTTGGTAACTAAATGACGACCAGCTTTTTTTGGTCGCTAAAAATTATTAACGACCAGATATGAGCTTTCTACGACCAAAAAGTTGGTTTCTAAAAGTGTTTTTTCTTGTAATGATTGGAAAAATTAAATTACTTTTTTCCTTTTATTGGACTTATACGGAACAAAATTCTAGTACAAGAACAACCAATACAAAGCACAAATTCATCCATGGTAATCGGGATCAACGTGAACACCTCAACCACGATATGAACTCAATTCTTCAATTAGAGAATTTAGATCGGAGAAAGACGATCCACTTTCTGCAATAGCCTTCTTTGCAAAATCTTTAAGCTCCCTTGCTCGGCTTCTCATTTCCTCTGCCTCTTCCCCCACCATAACCTGCTTCACAGCCTTTGCTATTGCCTCTCTTCCAATGCCACCACTTGCTATCTTTTTTTTCCATTTAAGAGCTCCAATCCCAACCCCAATTCTCAAAATCTCAGTCACCAACTTCTCATTATAGAACTGCTCGGCAAACACTGTCCAAGTAACCATTGGCACGCCGGCACTGACTCTTTCCAACATTGAATTCCACCCACAATGATTCACAAAACCACCAACGAATTCATTATCAAGAATCAACAATTGGGGTGCCCAACCTCTTATGATTAGTCCTCTCTCTCCTATCCTCTCCTCAAACCGCTCCGGCAACCACTTCTCGTCATTCTCATCTTTTCATTCTTTGATTTCCTTACAACCCAGATGAATTGTTGCTCGAATGCTTCAAGACCTATTGCCATCTCATACAACTAAGAACTAGGAAAGTCAACCACGCTTCCAAAACATATGTAGATGACCGAATTGGGCTTCTTCAAGTTATGCCATTTCAAGCACTCGTGTTCGTTAATAGATGCTTCTTTACCTCTATGTGCTTTGTCTTTTGTTTCCTTGTTGCATAAAGAAACCGGGCCAATATGCCAAGCCCTTCTTCCCAAAATGTTCTCAACATAGTCTGGTTCAAGCTCATAGAAGCTGTTGACAATAACTCTATAGCTTCTCAACTCCGCTTCATTCAATTTTTCGACCACCCTACTGAAGTTTGTCATGTCTTCTTGTCGATCATGATCCGGAAGTTGCATTCTCATCAACTTGATTTGGTGCGGAAGATTCGGAATGACAAAGGGTTCATCATCGGACAAGACGGTCTTCTGAGGTTTGTACAATCTCATGTTCTCCGATGCGCAAAGCGCGAAGAAGCTAATCCCATGGAAAACTATCCTCGGAATGGTGAATTTGCCAACAGATTCGGTAGTCCATGGGAAGAATAGGTCGGCGACAAGGCAGTCGGGGCAGCACTCTTGGAGGATCTGCTCGAGCTGGTCTTGGAACATGGCAATGGCCTTGAAGAAGTTGGCAATCATGTCGTCGGAAGTAAGTAGGTCAAAGCTCTTGCAATCTGTCGGTAGGCCAACTTCAGCCGTTGGGAATTTGATGGTGCGGAGGCTGATGTTAATGCCAGAATGATTGGCTTCTTCTATGGCTTTTGTGAAGACATGGGCATTGAGAGGAGTAGTGATTATGGTTGATTTTACTCCGTTGCGAGCGGCAAAGAGTTTGGCGATGTCAAGAGTTGGGATCATGTGGCCTTGAGACATCATGGGGAAGAAGAAGACTTGAAGGTCACCCATTCTTGCCTTTGTCAAAGTAGAATTCACAGTGTTAGGGCCTAGGAGGTGAGGAGCAAAGTGAAGAGTTTTGAAAAATGAAAGAAAGAGAAGGATACAGGACAGTCGAATGTGTTCTATGACTATTTGACTATAAGTAATTGATACAGTGATTCATGGTTATTGTTGGTTACATATTTTGTACAAGCCAATTACAATTCGACGCGTGGCAAAATAAGGATAATATAGGAAGACTATTCAAGTCTTCGATCCTGATCGTACACGTGGCAATTAGTATTGGTTATTACGAGATCTGAGTAGCAGTGGATCAACAAAGAGATGCAAGGTGATGTGGCTTCAACAGTTACTCACATTTCAAATTCAAATTTAGGAGGGAAGCCTAACTGCAAGTAATGGCATAATGGAGCTAATCTTGAGGCAACATAATCAACGATCATGGAGGAGTAGTTCGACGGTTAGAAATGCAGTTCGATGGTCATCCTTGAGCAGTATAAATAACAGAGAAGGCCCCAGAAAAAGCCCCCAGACTCAAATTCAAAAAACCAGTCTTATTCTACTTATTTTCCTTTCTAGTTTTACATTTCCAGTCTTATATTTTCTGTTCTTTACATTCTTGTACTTTAAATTCCTGCACTGCATTTCGTTCATAGAGTAGTTTCAGGTAGTAGATTGTCGCTGTAAACCTTTACGAGGCTGAGTTTGGATCATTGTAAGTTTTTTATTTTAATGAGATGCTTCAATTGTTCTTCATTTAATTGTTATCTTGTTTAATTCTCCTAAATCAAGCCACCAGTAAAAATCCTCTTCATTGAGGCTGAAAGAACTAAAACACAATTGTCTGATAATTGGTTGGCAATTAATTCTCTGTAAGGACTAATTGATCCTTGCTGGCACGCTCGCAATTGCAAAAATAACCTTCGAAAGTCAAAAAGCCAACATATATTTTTGGCACGCCAAGTGGGACTAATTGAAATTGCTAGACGTAGGAGACAGGGAGAAAATGAACGCTTGGAAGAAGGCGTGGAAGG